TTACAAGATACGTCATCTGCATATTCTATTCACTGTTTTGCTCACCAATTGCAATTGGCACTTGTAGGTCTTTCCAAAAAGAATTCGGATGTGGATAATTTTTTTTATGTTCTCACTAATATTTTGAATACTATTGGAGCTTCATTTAAACGCAGAGATTCACTTCGACAACATCAAGAAGATAAGTTGGAAGAGTTGCTTAAATTTGGAGAAGTTCATACAGGGCAAGGTTTGAATCAATAACGTGGCCCCCAACGACCGGGTGATACTCGTTGGGGGTCTCATTTTAAAACCTTGGACAATTTCCTGATTCTTTTTTCTTCAATTGTTAATGTGTTTAAGGATATGAAACGTGATTGTCCATATCATCTTGATAGATTTGCGGCGGAAAATCTTTTGAGCAAGATTCATGAATTTGAATTTGTCTTTATGTTGCACTTGATGTTTAAGGTGTTGCTATTGTCGAATGAGTTGAATAAAGTTTTACAAAAGAAAGATCAAGATATTGTTAATGCTATGGGATTGCTTGACCTTTCAAAGAAACTATTGCAAATGATGAGAGAGGATGAATGAGACTCTATGATGGATGAGGTCAGCTTATTTTGTGGTAAACATGGAATTTCAATTCCCAAAATGAATGAAGACTACTCTAATGGAAAGTCGAAGCGTAAGAAGTCCAATATTTCATATTTGCATCACTTTCCTGTGGAAGTATTTTATGCCGTCATTGATTTGGCACTTCAAGAACTCAATAATCGTTTTGATGTGGTGACTAGTGACTTGCTCCTCGGTATGGCTAGTTTGAGTCCGGTTGATTCATTTGCTAATTTTACAAGGATAGGATAATGAAATTAGCCGATTACTACCCAAGTGAGTTTGGTGATAAAGAGCTTCGGGAACGCAATGTTCAACTTGATGATTTTATTGTCTATGCTCAAAAGTATGATAGCAAGTTTCTCAACTTGAAGGGAATCAAGGATCTTGCAAAAGTGATGATAGAGACAAAACTAGATCAAACTTGGTCACTTGTGTATCTACTTGTGAAGCTAACTTTGATTATTCCTGTTGCTACCGCAAGCGTGGAAAGAGCATTCTCATCAATGAAGTACATAAAGAATGATTTGCGTAATAGGATGGATGAAGATCTTTTGAATGGTTGTTTAGTTTGCTAAATAGAGCATAGTATATTTAAAAATATAAGTAATTATGCCATTATTGACCGTTTTCAAAATATGAAAACTCGTCGAGGACAATTGTAAGTGAATGATGTTTTTGCTAATATATTACTATATAAAGATTGCTACTACCTACTTGCTCGTCAACTTGTTCTCACC